ACACAGAGAAACTCTGTTTCGAAACAAACAAACAAAAAAAAAATGTTAAAGGAACTCACAGCTTGGAGATCAACCATCTGGGTAAGGAAACTAGGTGTGACGGTAGGCATGGGCCTGGCAAACAAGAACCATTGGCCACTCCTGAAGTATGAATACAGCCTTCGATCCTTTGCTGACTGAGGGGCTACAGCCAACTCTGCAGCCATAGAATCGGCCACCCAGTTAGTGACTCTGGCTGCTGCCTTGCAAACCCAGTCTATGCAGCAACTTCTTAGAGTCTGACTGGGCTGGAACGGGGCCCCTAGTCCCTACCTATCTGAGAGTTTCCAAGTGATTGACTGTTCCATCATACAAGTGGCAAAGAGGTTATGAGAAGGGGCTCTGAGGCCATGCTTTGTGGGATCAAACCCTTGTTCTGCTAGTTAGTTTGGCAAAAAGTGGAGATAATCTCCTTTGTCATGAAGTTTAATGTACCAACGTTTTGGAATGTGAGGAATATTTGGCATAATATCTAGGACAGGGCAAATGCTCAACTCTGTGCATGTCATACGTACATGTGACCCTGAGGTAAAGACGAAATGGCATAATATATACAAAGTACTGTCTCCATATAGACAATGCACACACGTACGCTGCCTGTAGCAGGTCAAGGCACTGTTACCAGCTATCTTCAGTGTGGATTTTTCTCCTTACCTTACCACACAGCAACCTTTACTTCAGAAACCACACTTGAAAAACCAGAAACATGACGAGGGTGGAGAGGAATTGTTTCGCTCTCTCATTTAGTTATCAGCAAGCCCCACTAACCATGACAGATAGTTCTGCCAAACAGGATGGACACATGGCTAACTGGCACAGGGCAGTGTGGACACTTGGCTATGCCGACAAGATGGTAAGTAATACCCCTAGACAACCGGAGGAAACACAACCCCTTGACTTCCTAGGGGGCACCCAGAATGCAACTGTGTTTTGTTCAAGCTGTCGCTGGGAGAAATGGGGTCTGGCTGAGGATGAGAACTCCCTCTTGCACGTGGTTTCATCCCTATAGAGGTCACTCAGAGGCCCATGACGCTATCAAGATGCAGCCCTCAAGGGTAAGGCCAGTGTGAGAAGTGAGGCGTGGGATGGTGCTCTGTTCTCAACAGATTCCAGTCACGATCTGCCCAAGACCTTCTCTGATCTCAACTCCACACCCAGCAGAGCAGGCCATTTTCAGCTGAGCCTCAGAAAACAGCCCTTGTGACCAACTGTTTGTTTGAGGATGTTCGTTCCCATTTCTATAAGGCAATTATAAAAAGGTTTAATTTCTCAATTTTGCATTGGAGATCCTCTTTCACAGGTTACACGTACCTACTTTTTATCCGCCGGCCAAGGACAGGAAATCCTGCCTTTCAGCAACTGAGTCTCAGACACTCTGAATCTTTTCCTGGCAGATGTGACCTTGTCTAGGTTCTACAGTAATTTAAATGTTCTTTCAGCGTCGTTTCTGCTTGACCTTGGCAACATGACCAACCAGCAAATTTAAATGATATCAAGCAAAGATACAACGTTTGCATCCCGCTACCAAACCCCCATTCAATTCCAACACAGTGACCCTGGGCCAGAACCTAATCCAAAAGATTATAAAGCAACATCCTGACAGGTTTCCATGGCAACCCCTTAATGTCAATGCTTCCATCTCCCAGGGCTGCAAGTCTCATTTCGAGTCTACTCATATTCTACTACTTCATGTTATAACAACCAACTAAAATGTAATTTGATATGTCAGCAGCCAAACATAATAAGAGATGCCACTTGCTATTACAGCCAATAATAAAACGGCTTCTAGCCGCTTCTGTTCCAAAAATACAGCAAATCACGGAATATTCTAAGTCTGGTTTTCAAAGAGAGGCTATTTTGCCAGACTTCCTCCATTTTAACTAATTAGTCCATATTTAAGAGCACCGTGGTGATGAAGAGCCTTCTAATGAAGCTAGACATTATTATTATTTTCTCAACAGGAAGAAATAAGCTGGTCTTCCAGCTTTCAATAGACACAGTGTATCCGATCCAAAGTAGAGGGAGCTAGCTATACTATGAACCTTCTCAGGGTACAAGGGAGCAAGTGTGCCTTCTAAGAATTTCAACTTTTACTACTGGAGGAGAGGAAATACTGACACTGAACTCCAAATGATCCAAGCACTCCGTTTTAATCAGTAGGTCCCCCAGCCTCACGCTGTATCAGTTCTCCAGAGGAGGCTGTCCGCTGAGATACAATGGGTTGAAACCCAGCCCTGCATGTGTCCCTCCTCTCCTGCCTTCACCCGTGACCCAGGTGAACACAGCTGAGAGCTACAGTGGAGGTAGACCCGTGTGGAGAGTTCCGGAGAGCAATTCCCGCCCACTAAGGAAACAAACACTAAAATGTCCCTTGGTAAGTATCAGAACTAATTTATTTACCCTGTTTCTCAATTAGCAAAAAAAATTATTGAGAAAATGTCCATGAGGTCAACAGCAAGCCCCTAGACTGTGTCATCCTATGACAAAGAAATTAACACAGAATATACACAAACTGAATAGTCACACTATAAGACATGGTATTTTATACCATGTAAGATGAGTAATCCTAAAAATAAGGGTATCATAAGTACACGGAAGGGCTTCAGCCAACAACCTTAAATCAACACAAATATCTACAACCACCATGCCACAGGTTTGCATGTGATTTTTCTAAAATTTTAACAGATTTCCTTTTTCCTTTAAAACCTGAAAACCAGTCAGGCAAGCTAACACAAACCTGTAACCCAGCACTCGGGAGGGTAAGGCAGGATGGTGAGCCTGAGACGGCTAAGGGCCCTCCAGCAAGCTGGAGTCAGCCTGGGCTGTACGGTAAGACCCCGTCTCTAAAAGAAAAGTCAAGATGAGTTTGCACGAGACTTTTCTTCCCACCCTCACAATAGCTGCCAGGAAGTCCGAGTCCTGTTTCTACCAAGTCCTTGGCCATCCCATTGTCAACTCTACTTCTCAGACACTCCTTTCTTACTCGGTGTTGTTTATTTAACAGGCTGGACCCCAGCATCCAAACGAAATCTGTGTGCAGCGATACGGGGTAGCATCATGTGACGGCTCTCACGAAGCCTCCAGTATCTGTGCTGGCTGTCAGTCGAGTCTGCCTCTCTGCGATCTGAGAAGTGGGAACTTGGACGCGTACAAAAACCAGTTCAGTTCACACAGCAACATGGATTTCTCCATGTGTTTTAGTCACAGTTTGAATTTCTGCACCAGAGTGTCTTCCCTGTGTCTCCTCAGCCTGACGTGGAGAGTCCTGGTGGGGATGCACCACCTGCGCACACAGATGCCACCTCTAGGAAAATCCACTAGACCATTCAAACTGCTGGCCCGGAACAATACATATCTAGGTTGAGATTTGGGGTTTTCAATGCCTATGTGACCCCGAAACAAAGTATTTAAACTCTGTGAGTTTCAAGTATTAAATATGAAAGCTGAAATGACAAAGCAAGCCTTTGGGTGAGTGTGTGTGATTAATTAATGCTCATGGGGTCCTCAGCAAATACCAGATACACCACAGTCAACGTTCGATAGAGACCAGCAGTTGTTACCATGGCCAGCATAAACAGTTTAAAAAGTGGTAGGTGGCCGGTGCATGCTTGCTGTCTTTAGAATTTCCAACTCCATCCACGGGCTCACGTGAGAATCTCCCAGTGTCACTCCGGTGCTTGTGATAAGAGTGGTACCAAAGCCCCTTGGTCAGGCACAGGACACAGATCACGCCACACAGGGTTCACGCTCTCTTTTCCTTACACCTCAGGGTTTGTGTTCTCTAGGTTGACACCAGCGAGGTGACAGGATGAGGACACTCCCGTTCCTTATCGCCATCTCCATCAGCCATGCTGATGCCTACACCGGGGTATTCTGGGCTGCGCAGCTTGGGCAGCTGGTGATGTAGTTCAGTTTCCTGGAAATACAGGCAGCCATTTCCTGTGGCTTCCTCTGTTTTTTGATGTAGAGATGAACACATGTGAAGACTAAACACATCAAGAGAGCGAGCTTCAGCCCGCCGGTTCTGTAAAGGCTGAAAAACACTGTAATTTCCTCATAAACAGATCAAGAGCACCGTCTGGGCTGTCTCCCATACAGCACGCTCCCGGTGAGCCCACACAGTAAGACCGAGAGGTGATGGGGGGAATGCAGGCGCATCTACGTCTACGGCCTGCTGCCTGAATTGAGGAGCACTGCCATGATCTTGCTTACCGTAGCGATTGAGAAACACTTCCAGGAAGGTCAGCGCTTCGCACAAAAACAGCCTAAAAAAAAGCTCTTGTCTGTTCATAGGACTTTAGTCAAGATTTCCCCAGAATTAGAGGCCAGGTCAGAGAAAGGTCACTCTTTGAAGTGGAAGGCAATAGAGATGTCAAATGAATGAAACTGTTCATGCGATGTTCTAAAAGACAATTTAGGAAGAAAGAGAGCAAGGTACCATCAGCTGATCACTACCCAGGCTCGCTGAAGGTGGTCACGGTAGACGCTAAGGACTAGAAGGAACCCATCTTGGCCAACAGTCCCATAGCCTGCTGTTGAGAAGGTAGCAGAAGCCGTACGCACACTTATATGGAGGCCAGGCCATGCATGGTAGACTTGGAAAGGCTTTGGAAGCTGACCTGACTTTGCCACTTACCAGCTTAGTGACCCTTCGGCCAGCGACATCACCTTTTAAAACTCCACTGACTCCTGTGATCTCTGTCTGTCCATCACCGGCTTGCTTCCTTTGTGAAATACTGCTCCTATCCACCAATGGGGACAACAGTGTCTATGGTCGGCTGCTTGGCACAAAGTCAAGTACTATACCAAATTGTCGAGTAGTTTGTGTTTGAGATAGCCTGTCCTTTGTAATCGAGAAAGCCTTAGCGGACACAGCTAACTCATAAAAGTTGTTACGGCAATTAAGCACACATAGAAGACGTAAGAGGGCTGGGGAGATGCTCAGCCAATGAAGAACTTACCGCACGAACCGGAGGGCCTGAGTCTGTTCCCCTAGAACCCCACACAGACAGGCAGTGCGATGGTGTACCGCCGTCAACCCAGGCCTGGTGGGATGGATGTAGAAGGATCCATTCCTGACCTGCCAGGTTGAACAAATCACCAACTTCAGCCCACCAGACAGAAAAGGGAGCCTGTTACTCGAACAGACTGGGGTTAGACGCGAAAACTGTACACTGTGTGGTGTTGTACGAGGGGCTAGGAGACGGCAAAGCTATTCTTCCTCACCCAGGAGCATCAAGAATCTTACTTTCAAGGCCTGGGAGGAGTTGAAAGTACAGAAAAGGGCTCCAAAATTAAATATTCACTCCTACTACAAGTTGTTATGACCAAATGTGTCTAACAGGCTCAGAGACATCCTGGCTTCTCTGTCATCTCTGTAGGCACACGAAATTCCCCCGCTGCTGGGCTCAGCACAGTTTATTTCCTTAGCATCTCTCTATTTCCTGCCACTTTATTTGCCTCATAGCCCGGTCCCCTCTGGATTTAACCAGATAAATGCCGTGAGCGCACTGTGACGCCACCACTCTCCGTGAGCATGTGTTTTATATCGCAAGAACATCTGGCCTTATCTGCTCATTCTGTAACATGACAGAGCTTGAGAAAGCAGACATGTTTCTCTGAACAACCCCCAAAATTCATTTAAAAAAAAAAACCCTGAAATACAACACAGTCCCTTTGTGCCCGTGGTTACATTGCCAACCTTTCTGAACAAACCTGTTGGGAAACAGCGAGATCTATGAATAAATTAGCTGTGATTTCTAGCCTATGTTCTGACCATATACCCTCAAGCAAGGAAGAATGGCTAAGGAGAAGGTTGATTAAGGTCCCAAGATGGAGGAGACTCAGGGCCCTGGGGAGGGATGGGAAAGAGGAGCATCAACAGGGGTGGAGTGGAAGAACTAACAAGGTCCTGCAGGGACAGCAAATGAGTCTGAATTTCAAAAGCCATTAGTCACTCTAGAAATCAATGTCCCTCACATGTTACTATCAAAAAACAGGATCCTATTGGGCTGTTTTATGAGTGAGTGTGTAACAAGCCCCATCCCTAGTTTAAACCAGATTAAAATACAGATCCGTTCCCTAGCCAAATACATTTGTGCCAAGAATAAACCAATATTCTATATGAATCTATAGGAATTTTTATAATAGTCTTAAAGTCTCCCTTGGGAAAATGCATCTCTATCTCTGTCACTTAATTATCCACCCATTCATCCATCTTAGGAGAGAAAATTCAAGGAACTCCTTAAAACATGCAAAGGAAAATTATGGGAAGACACACACACCGGCCAAATACATTTCAGGAGTGGTTGCCATAGAAACAAGTCAGTAGGTTTCATTTTTAGAGTTGTGCCTTTTGATAAAATATTAAGTTTCTTGGTGTATTTCACACACACACACACACACACACACACACACACACACACACACACACACTAGCACAACTACTGATGTCCAAATAAATTGCTTTAAAACTACTTGACCAATTTCTACTTTTAGGCTGCCCATTATCTACAAAGAAAATAATTCATCTTAATAAGCTGATGGCTGAAGCCCACTCTCCTCTGCTTCCAGGGGTTTCACATTGAGCAGAAGCTGAAGTACGGACGGTACAGGAATGAGAGAAGTGAGGTACTTGACAGGGGGCTAAGAAAATAAGCCTTGTTCTTGAGAGGCTCCTCACAGCCTGCCAGCCACTGGTGCCAGCATCTTCTAGGCTACTGAACAAAACACATGACTTAGATCTCACTTTCCAATATAAGGTGGCTCTTCCTCACCTGTAAGAAAAGACGACATATTTCATCTTGGGGAAAGGCGCTGTAACACTGCCATGCACGTGGCTCGCCTGGCATCTCCTTTTCTTCTGTATTTAATAGCTACGTGTGGGTCTGAGTCCAAAAAGCACATACTACACTTCCTATTTTCATAATTAAGAAAAACTGCACACTGTAAAACTGAATAAGAACGGCAGTCACTAAATCAGACACTGGTTTTGAAGCACAGGCGGTGTGTTAGTAAGCTGCAATACATTTTTCTGACCAGAAGGCATCTGTTTACAGGACAAAGCTCAAATAATCTTTGGATTATAATCAATAGACAACCGGTATGTCTGAGGTGTGTCAGGAGAGGTCTAACAATTACTTAACCTGGCCTAGAAAATGTCTTTGAGCCACAAACCTGGCAGGTGGATTTAGCTTTCTATCAGCTGGGAACACACGAGCTTCAGACCAAGAAGTCAGTCCCTGCTAAACAATAAAATCGGCAACAATCCCGACTTCCTAGACACACGAAGTAAATCACATTAACAGCTGAGGAGAGGCGGTGAACTTTCTGTCTGAAGGGCAACTAGAAAAGAAAACAAGAGGGGATCAACTGAAAATGTCACGGCGGAGCCTAAGCCAGGTGCTGGCTCCAAAGGGACTGACAGGACCCAGGAAGAATGAAAGGAACACAGCTACCACTCTGAAGCAGTGTATGGCTCGCTCTCTCTCTCTCTCTCTCTCTCTCTCTCTCTCTCACTCTAAAAATGATATGCATTTGTGTATAAATACTCCAACAATTTCTGGCCAAGTACATATGTTTATATCTATACTTAGATATGACTAAGAAATTTTATCGATATGACTAAGAGATGATGATTATCTCTGGTAGGATCAAAGGTCATGTTTGTTTTTGTATTTTCCCTATGCTCACCACTGGCATTCATGATGTCTTACAGAAACGAAGAGAAGTGTACACACACACACACACACACACACACACACAAGCATGTTATTTCACAAAAAACTTAAAAACTATGGTATGAGAATTATTCCAACAGTGGCACTAGAAAAGCAAACACAGCATTCCCTGAGTGTCTGTGGGGCCTCGTGAATGTTCACCCCGCAAGGGGGCTCAAATCCCTTATAAAAGATGGCACCTGTGAGCATCAGCCTGTAGCTCACAAATCCTCCTGTGCACTTCCCTGAAACGCTGAGATGATGGAAGAGAAATATGGATGGTTCTGCATCCTGTCCAGGGAATAACAAGGAAACTAAGTCTGTATATGTTCAGTGCGGATCAGTTCTTCCCAGGCATTCTCAAGCAGGGGCTGGTTGTCTGTGTCAGGGAACACGGAGCCCATGGGATACAAAGGATTATGGCAGAGTAAACTTCTACTGTTGTTTCAGTCCCCCTACACAAAATAATGACACACACACACACAAACAGGCACACACGCAGACACACACACACACACACACACACTCACACCATACAAAGGAAGAAGAAACCAGAGGAGGTATTTCTAAAATTCTATAGGAAACTAGAAACAAGTATGAATGAATAAATTATACCAAGTTAAACATTGTTAAATTAATCTTATAGTTCACAAGTGTATAATTTTTAAATTATAAATAATGAATTTTTAAAAAGGCAATATGTGTTAGTTATGACTTCAGTGCCAAACAGTGTAATATAAGAGATGCTGGAATCAGTCAAAGGATTCTGTTTGTTTTGAGAATTAATTTTGACTCACAAAAGACTATCAAGTGAGTTGGAAAGCAATTTTAGCCACAATGTAGCATGTTTCATGTCTGAAAAAAAGGTAAACTAGCTGCATGCAAATTTTTTAATTTAAAAATTTTAATAACATTATAAAAACTTGGAAATAAATATCACAGATCATTTCAAACTACACATTTCAGTGAACTTCTGCCTGGTTAGAACAAACATTATGAAGTTGTTTACACTTTCTATGGACTAACTTAAATGATAAAAATTTTAAACATATTTATGTGATAATTAGGTTTTCAAATGCTGAAAATACTTTGGTTTGGCTTCTGACTAAATCCATAACATTGAATTATTATTTCTCTAACTACCCTGCTATATCTCACTTACTATATTAAGAGAACACACAGATGAATCCTAATTGTTCCTTTAGCCACTACTATAATGTAACGGAACCTTACAAGGCTCTCATGCTATATGAGAGAAAATAGAAGTTCAGATATCTTAAAGTTGCATCACACAGTAAGCAGGCACTGACTTTGAAAGCCATGGTCTACAGAACAGCTCTTGTTCCTCTGCCTGCAGATGCCTGCATTGTGGAGAGGCTGGAATGACTGTTCACCGCATTAGCTCCGCCCTGCCACGGGCTGTGCTCCTCTCTCCTGCACCCCGAATATCTGCCGGCTAAAAGATGGAAGCCAAATGTCAATACTGCCTTCTGTCACACACACTCGAGAAGCCAGATGGCTAACCACTAAAATAATACACGATTTCCAAGGCCAAGTGTGTGATACATTTGAATCATATCACTCCTCCATATAGGATGGGACATTACGACTTAGCTAGATGAGCACATGCTTCCCACATAATGTATACAATATAATAACATGTCTATAATAACAACACTATGACAATAGTGAAACACTGAGATGACTCTCCTCAATGGCAGCCACTGTTCTGTTGGGTTGGTAGCATCTATGGGAGAGAAAACCACTGATCACTTCATTAGCATGGGGTGGGACCGACTTACCCAGATGGCTGCATTTCCAGTCACCTCACTCAGACAGGTGGCGGCAGGCTGGGAAAGGCGATCATACACATTCACGCTAGCCTAGCTATCAACAGGCAGGCTGGAGTCAGGCTATACCATAGGAATCGCCTCTTCCCAGAGGGCTCATTTCCTCTCTACCAAACAGAAATACAAGATACATTTGAAAGTAAAATGTTTAGTATGGTGGTTACTAGTCCCAATGCCTGTTGCTTGAAGCAAGCCAGGACATAGGCCTGAAGGCCAGGCGGATGGGGTAGGATGTAGGCAGGGAGAAGCGAGCCTACCAGACATGTAGAAGGCAGCTTTCCTACTTATTGCCCCAAATGTCTAAAAGGAATCGTCAAACCTTGTGTTTGTTATTAGCGAATGGAAAGACACAGTGTGGATGTTACATAGCAAAAGCTGTCTTGGGGTTTTATTTTGAATGGGGGTGCTCTTTCATTGCTGAGCTACATTTTTGAGCTGCCTTCTTTTGGTTTACTTTTAGTTTTGGGTTTTTTTTTTTAAAGTAATATACTCTCATTTTAGTTCTGTGTTAGGCTTATAGAAAAAAAAATGGTCCGAAAGTTCCCTGTCCTCTGGCTTTTCCATTTTATTAACACCTTGTGTGAGTATGATACATTTATTATAATGAACGAACCAATACTAGCACACTGCTGTTAACTGCATTCTACAGCTAACGTT